CTCTTAAACCAATGGGCTCAGCTTTCGTTGGTCATTGTAGAGTGAGACATGCATTACATCCAAGTAATGATTGTTCACAAAACTCTTTAGGTCTACTTTCGTAGCCTAAAACGATTTGCCCATCAAATATATATCCGGAGATATAACAAGCTTTTGGAGAGTATATCAACCTAAAATCAAGTCACTAGTTAGCTACTCTAGCAACAGGCATTAAGCATAAATAAAGATGGAGAACCATAGGGTTTCCCCTTTTAACAATCGATTTTCGATGGCCATTATATCACGTCCTCATTGGAAGGATCCATAATTCAACAATGAGTCTTAGATAGTAGATGAAGTCTCATGAATCCTTAGAGAGAGAGGCGGCGGAATATAGACTAAACCACGCCTCACCCTTAGGGAGAAATCTCTACTTCTAGACTATATAAATTGAAACATGCAAGCTATATACAAATGCAAAAGAAGAAAAGAAAGAAGAAGGAGACCACCTAAGTGGCTCCGAACTTTATTGAATAAGTGTTTCTTGTTATGCGGCTGGTGATTCTTATTACAAGAGGCTAAAAGCAAGTATATATAGGTAGAGAGCGGGTCTAGGTCGGCAAAGTTGAGCGCGCGCAGAAGAGGAAAGTTTCCATTTCTCTTTAGCCGCTTGAGCTTGCTCTCCAAGTTCTTGAATGGGCCGCGTTCAGGCCAATGGAAGCTTCTGGATTGAGTTATGCTAGTGTCAAGATGAGCCAAGGCCTTGGGCGCGGTATCCGGGCCTCTTGATCCATCAAAGTCTCCATGGGCTCTACTTAGGCGCTCGTCGGACATGTCTTGGTAGAAAATAAGTTCCGGTCCAACGAGTGATCCAAATGACCTCTTTCCACTTCGCCGCGGGTCACGACTCAAATATCTATCTTTCCATATAAGAATCATGACTTTTGGACGTCGGGAAGGCATGAACATGCGGTCGTACTTCGGATGCTCCGGTTTGGTCTTTAGCGAGAAATGTATTTTGGTGCTCTAGACTTGGGAACTTGGTGATTTGACTCTTTTTGCTCCATTTTGGACTCTTCTTTGCTATTTTGACCTGAATGATGCTCAAAACCAGAATATACAAGAAAACTACCTCTTGGGCTTAAAAACCACATTATTTGTATTAAAAACATAGTGAAAACCTTGATAAAAACATGAAAGATATGGGTATATCACAACACTTCCCTTGTCTTGCTGCCACATGAAGATATCCCAAGCCTACGCTCAGGTGTTGTCACTTTCCAGCCCAATGAGGAAGACTTCTATGTTCCATCAAGTGAGAAACCATCATTCCCCATGCTCACCTATCGCACACTTCAGCATGCAGTCAAGACTCAACGCCGCCACCAAGAACGCCATGTTCTCACTACTGGCATGGCCGCGCATCAAGCTCTAGACCGTGTTAGCAAGCTGGAGAAGATAGTGGAATGCCAATCTCGCTTCATCTCACGCCTAGTTCGTGTAGTTCGCCACATTGCACCGGAGAGACTCTTTCGCCCTTCTTCCACCGCTAGAGAGCCATATGAGCCTGACCTTGGTGAGTTCTCACTAGACTCAGAGCTTGGTTCAGAAGGCGATGACCCCATAGATGAGGAAGAGAGTTCTTCTCACTGCCACACATAGTCATCTCAAGTGGTACTTAGTGCAATGGACACTTACAAATCTCCATTTTCTATCCCTATCTCATTTTAATGAATTTCTCTTTATTTTTCTTTTACTTTGAATATTACCTCTCACCTTAATGTGATTTGCTTTCACCGGGACGGTGCAAGTTAAGTCTGGGGGGAGTTTTATTGTGTTACTAATGCATTTTTCTTTCTTTTCTTATGTTTTATTACTTTGTTTCATGTTTTTCAAAAAGTTTTATTGAGTCAAAAACCAGTCCGGAAGTTATGAACTTGCTTTGAGAATTGAGAGTGTTGTGCTAACAATCCATGACCCTAGAGCAGAAACCAGCTAAAGGCACAAGCCTAACAGAAGCTCTTACAGTGGATCGACATGCTAGCTCAGCAAAATTTCTAAGGTAACCAAGCAATCTAGAGTTAACCTCACCCTTAATCAATCTTAATACTCTTGTCAAGGGGATTGGCATACATGTCGACAGTTCCTTGCTTGATTTTCAATAAGATTTGTCTAATCTTTAAAGAGTTCTCCTCTCTCTCCCATCCCAAATGGTAAGTAATGTTTATGAGAAAAAGCTCAAAGAGCACAAGGAAAACAAGTAAGCATGAGGAATGCATATGTCTGTACCTTCATGTCTTATGGAATACCTTAGTCAAACAAGGAACAAGCTAAAGACTTATCCTGTGGTTGAAAGAAGGGTCAATAGAAAAAATAAAATGATACCCTAGAAAAGTAGGGAGAAATTGACCTTTCAAAGTTCTGATGTGAGAAAGAGAGAGGAAAAGAACTCATTGCACTTAAAGACAATCTTGGAGAAGATCAAGTGGGTAAGAACAAGTTCAATTGATCGATGTTCCCTTGATAAAGAACTCACGCTTTAAATTTATGCAAGAGGTTAGCAATAGAGAGTTTGGATTGCTGGATGAGACTAGTTGGGTTGGTATTGTTCGCTAAACTTGCAGGGTGTATGTGAAGCTAACCTTATGTTGTCTATGTTCTTAGTGGAATACAGGAAAGGAACCTTTCACAGGATATTCAAAAGAGCAAGGGAGTTCCACGTTTTCAAACCTCTTTCACGGATTTAGATTCTTTTTGGGGACAAGCAAAGATCTAAGTCTGGGGGAGTTGATATACCTCTATTTTACACTTTTTATACTGTTTTAGCATTGTTTTCTAATGGTTTTTGGCAGGTTTTCTATCTAAAAAGGTAGTTTTACTGTGTTTATAGTGTCTAGAGTCTAAACAGGTGAAATGATGCATTTTGGAGCAAAACCATAGGATTTGCACTTCAAGCCGCTCCATGCACAAGCATCAACTTTAAGAGGGCCCAGAAAAAGATCTACTCAATGGATTTCATCAAGACCAGTTCCCTGCGTGCTCTGATTGAGTTAACTTTCCAACGCAACTGGAACGGCCTCATTTGGATGAGTAGAAAAGGAGTTATAACCAAAAGAGTGAAGACTGTCCAGACGGCTCTATCGAGAATCAGCGCCCAACCGCGCAGTCCGGCTGGCCGAGAAACGAATTGTTTCACGCTCGGCCAAATCATCCGTCCGTCTGAAGTCTCGGCCAAAGTTCAAACCGACCGGCCGATCACGATCACGACCCGGGAAACATTGTCCCGCGGTCGGCCAAGCACAACACTCACGCCACGCCGCGCACGACCATGCCGCGCGAGCCGGGAACAAGCCTCGCGGCCGCGCAACCCTTCGCGTACCACGGCCGATGCATCCGTCCGAGCCGGGAAAACGTCCCACGTCCGGCCGAGAAACCATCGGCCAAATCTCATCCGTCCGACCACGCCGGCCGACCGAATCCATCCGGCCACGACCGTTCCGATCGCCCACGACCCGACTGTCCGGCCGATCGTCCCGACCGACCGTCCGAACGCCGCGGTCGACTGATGTACTTGCATTTTACATTATTTTAGCACATCTTTTATGCATCTTTTGCATAGTTTTAGCATCCGTTTGCATCATATCTTGTTCCTTTTCTTTTCTTATCCATTCATGTTAGTTTAATTTCATCTCCTCTTTCTTATGATGTCTCTTTTATTGCATTTGCTTGTGTTTACATTCATGTGTAGTGAGTAGTTACCCATTAGGGTTTGAGATGGGATAGATTAGAGGTTTCATATGCTTAATCCTTTTGCTTATGGTCTTAATCTAGATTCTCTCTCTTTTGGATAATCTTAAGGCTACATGACCACTACCCCTGGCTTGTAGTCCTTAGGCGATTCCCCACACGAAGTGATGGCATTCGCTGGAAAAGATCCACTAAGAGCTCCAATATCTCTTGCTCTAGAAATAGAGGTCTAAGGGGTTGGATGGATTAGTTTGGGCAATGATCCTATGGCCTCCAAGGTTTGATTCTCACTGGCTAACCCCCTGTTTCTGAGATCATTCCTTGGTTGATAGCTTTCACCTTGGGAAAGGGTTGGCTAGGCATTGAGAAGCCCAATATCAAGAGAAGCCTTGATACAAGGAGTTTTAAGAGCAAGATTGATTAAGTATAGCCTTCCTCTGATTGCAAACCCTGTCTTGACCCTAATTCTCGCTTATCTTGTTAAAGTCGTCACCTTTAGCTTTTTTCTCAACTCGTCCCTAAACTCGATCGAGCTGGTACTTGTTCCACTCGACTCGAGTCTTGGTCGAGCTGTTACTTCACTGCTTTTTTACTTTTGCATTTCTTTTCTTTCATTTAGGTTGTTAGTGTTACCAAATCTTTACTGCTTGCTTGACTTCCTGGTTGTTTCATATTCTCATAGAGTGACAAGTTTCCCATTTTGGATTGATAACCTCTTATACTACATGACTATGATGGTTAAGAGGAATTGATTGATTGTGATTGCATCTTACCATCATCTTTATTCACCCTGTTTGCATTCCACCTCATATCATATCACATCACACAAAATCCTATCATCAATTTGGCGCCGTTGCCGATTTGGGAATATTTTTGTTGCATTTGAGTTTCAAACACACTTGGACGATCAAGCTATACCACCCCTGTTCTATTGTACTGCTGGGTTTTTGTCTCTTTTTGCAGGTGTATGCGAACTCGATCGAGTCGGTCTACAGAAGACTTGGTCGAGCTAGACTTACAACGGGTAGAAAGAGGGTTCAGAGGTCACAGAGGGTACAAGAGGAACCTGAGGTGCTTGTTGCTGATACAATGGATGTACCAGAGGGGAATGGAAACCCTTTGGGAATGGACTCGGTCGAGCTAGGCAAACTCGACCGATTGGTCAAGGAGATGCTCCAAACCGCCACCAACAGAGACAAGGGATTGTTCCACCACCAGTGCAGAACCACAACTTTGAGATCAAGCTGGGAATGATCAACCTTGTCCAGAACAAGATGTTCCATGGATTGCCAAGTGAAGACCCCATTGACCACCTTGATGAGTTTGATAGGCTTTGTGATTTGACAAAGATCAATGGTGTCTCTGAAGATGCCATCAAGCTGAGACTCTTTCCTATGTCTCTAGCTGACAAAGCTCACCAATGGGAGAAGAGCTTGCCCCATGGCACAATCACCACTTGGGATGAATGCAAGAAGGCCTTTCTTGCTAAGTTTTTCTCCACCGGTCGCACAGCCAAGCTTAGAGGAGAGATATCCAGCTTCATCCAGCGAAACAATGAGACATTCGCAGAGGCTTGGGAGAGGTTCAAAGGCTACACAAGTCAGTGCCCACACCATGGATTCAACAATGAATCCTACTCTCCACTCTTTATAGAGGATGCTTGCCTAGGTATAGGGAGATGCTAGACACAGCTAGCAATGGGAACTTCCTCAACCAGGATGTAGATGATGGCTGGCAACTTGTGGAGAACATAGCTAACTCAAATGGAAGCTATGGAGAAGAGTATGATCGCACCAACCGGAGCTCGACCCACCACTCGATCGAGTCAGACGAAAAGTTGAGAAAAGATGTTAAGGCATTGAATGAGAAGTTGGATAAGCTGATCCTAGCTCAGTCCACAATGAAGAAAGTCAACTTTGTGTCTGCTGAGGAGATGGAACCAGTCCAAGAAGGGGAGGATACACAATTTGCTGAGGTGTGCTACATGAGTGATGGCGGGTTTAGATTGCCTCAAATTTTCACAATTTATAAACCCAACTAATGAGCTGCAAGTGCACAGCCGTGTTGTAGTCGGGGTCGAACACGAGGAGGAAGTGTTCTCACTTAACACCTTGTGAGATTGGTTTGTAGCTAGCTCGCAATATGAGATGGTTTTGGACCTAAGAATGAGAAAACAAACAAAAGAAATGTGAGTGAGTTGTAAACAATTTAAAACAAGAGTTAGGCAAAGGACAATCATATGGAGCAATGATGAAAAGATAGTTGCATGGGATGTGTGTAGAGCCGTCTTGAACATGAATCACTAGTGTATGGTCTTTCCACTGTCGTGGCTCCAACCACTATGTTTAAAACAACCTAATATACTCAGCTTTCGTTGGCTATTAGAATTGCAAACATGCATTAAAGGTGATCAAGATTCAATTGTTCACAATAAACCATAACTCAGCTTTCGTTGGCTATGATCTATTGCTCACCAAATACTAGTTTTGAGATCTAGATTCAGCACTGTCGTGGTTCTATTTCTCTAAGATCAGATTACTAGATGTACGGTAGAGTAATCATGCATTAAGCTCAAGTAAAGGTGAAGATCCATAAGATAAATCCCAATAAGTTGCAACACAATCAAATCATCACGGCCACCATAGATCTCCTCGGCCTAACTAAGAGATGGCCATGATGCAAACAAGCAAGCAAAGCATGATTGTAAACATTATGCAAGTATTAAAAGAGATAAAGGGATGAAGAAAGCTTCTCTATTGATGAACAAAGTCGGATTCTCCCTTGAAAACTCTTAAAATCAAGTTTATAGAAATGGAAACAATGAAAAAGAAAGAACAAGAGTTGAGCGGCGCCTCCTTCTTCTTGGACGATCTCCTAGGGCTTCTCTCCTCTGAACTCTCTTCTCACACGTACACTCTTTGATAATTTTCGGACTCTCTTCTTCAGCGGCTAAAAACATGTATATATGGGCGAAGTCGCGTAGGGTTTTCTTCATGCCGGAAAAGGAAAGTTTCCCGTGAGCAAAGCCTTCTTCTCCACGTCGTGTATGGGCCGACATTGTACCAAGGAAAGCTCCAAACATTAGCCAGGCCTCTTCTCTATTCGATCAAGGCCTTTGGCGCTGCTGCTCGGGCCATTAGACACTCCAAATCCTCCATGGGCTTCGTTTACTCGCTTACCGGACATGTCTCGGTAGAAAATAAGTCTAGGCCTCATAGTTGATCCAAATGGCTTCATTCCACTTCGACGTGATGCATGACTCAAGTATCTATCTTTCCATATCAAGATCGTAACTTTTGGACGTCGGGAACTCCTCCGCGCGCGGCCAAACTTCCGAAGCTTCGTTCTGCGCGCTAGCGAGAACTAACACTTGGAGATAAAATGATCTTCTTGACTTGGAAACTTGCATGGATCTTGATTTAGGGCTCTTTTACTCCTTTTTGCATCCTTTTTGATTTTCACCTACAAAGACTTCAAATCCCACAAATACAAGAAAACTACCTCTAAAGGCAAAGAATCTTGCAAAAACCGTTTGAAAACATAGTAATTATATAGTAAAATCATGTAAAATATGGTGATATCAACTCCCCCAGACTTAGCCTTTTGCTTGTCCCCAAGCAAACTAAGCAGGAAAAGAGGTTTGAAAACGTGAGAACTCTCAAATCTTTTGGAAATCCAAATTGACTTATGCTTTAGTAATCCACATGAAACAGCATTGGCAAGTTTTGAATTAAGAACAAAGTACATACCATGAGTTTTGCGATTTTCCCAAAGCGGTCCACCTCTCCTTGGACAATCCAATTCGCCACCCTTGACTCCTTTCATTTCTAAAGGTGTGGTCTCAACTAGGGAGTATCGATCAGCCGGCTTTTAGACTCTTACTCATCCCCTTGTTTGGCACTTGTCTTTTACTCCATGTTTCTCCTCTCTCTCTTCTCACTTCTTTGAGTTGATTCATCCCTTTTTTAGGGTAGCGAAGTATTTTTTTATTCAACTCCTTCTCTTTATTATAGAGGTTTTGCTTGGATCTTCCACAGACGCGAGTATTGATGGTGTTTGCCACCGAATCCCCGGTTGCTTGGATTCATAGGCCTTCCATAGACGCGAGTATTGATGGTGTTTGCCACCGAATCCCCGGTTACTTGGACCTTACGCTTTTTCTTTAAATTTGAAGGGGAGAGAGAGGGAAGCACGAACTCACTAAGACTTTTTCATTTGATGGAGAGGATGAGGAATCATGCCATTTGTATGCCAAGCCCCTAGCTGAGAAGATTAAGTTCATTAAGGGCGGAGTCAAAGATGGATCCTTCTCAAGTCTTTAGAGATGTAGGCGTTTTTGGTAGATCGATCAACTCATAGTGCACCTGTGGTAAGATGTATTGCCAAGAACTGCTCAATGGTCACTTAAACATTAGTACAATCATGGTTAGATCCAAGATAAGGTCATGATTCTCGACAAAAATTTTGACTCAATAAAAACGACTCGATAAAGGGAAAAATGCAAATGAAAACGCCAAAATGAACAAACATTGTTAGTAATCCCCCCAGACTTAACTTGCACCGTCCCGGTGAAATCAAATCGGATTAAGAGAGGCATAACATGAAGTTCAAATGAAAAATTGAAAAGAAAAAGGTTTAGGATGATGTTACCAAATGTCGACCAATTTATAATGAAGATCAGTTCTGGTTTGGGTCATTCTACACTTCTTTAGGCAATATTGGTCGGTGAGTTTTTAATTTCAGGCCTTGGTTTCCGCCGGTTTGTGTTTTGGCCGAGATTGGTATATTCGGTCGGCCAAAATGTGGTGCTGTGAACTACAGAACAAACCGTCAAAATTTCATGACCTATATTGAAATTTCATCGACCAACCTGGTATTTTATGCCTCTGGTGAAGTTTGGGAGCATTTACGAGCGGATTGAGACTTCCTTCACAAAATGGTCAAGTCGGCTCCGGGAAGGAGTTTCCTTGGCCATGTGAAGTTTGGCTCGTTCCTTTTCGTTTCTTCCTGCATAAAAGTGTTAGTTAAGCTCAAAGAAGAGTTTTCCAACCGGTTGGCGCGCCTATGCCGTGATTTGGTTTGTCGGCCATATTGCTTGCGCGCCATCGGCCAGAATGAGCTCCGTCGTCTATCTCATGATCCGTGATGATTTCTCCGTCCTATCTTTTGGATTTGCCGACCAAATGTGATTTTATGGTCGCCTGTGAAGTTTGGTGGACTTTGGTCACGCCGTTTAGGAGTTGGCCGTAATTGGTCTCCTTGTGCGCGGTATGGCCGAGAGAAATGTCCGGATTGAATTTCTTCAAATCCACTCGGGCCAATTGAGATTTTCTTCGACCGAATTGTTTTAATAACCCTCCTGTGTCATTCCCAAGTGGTGGCCGCCTTGTTTCGTGTGATGGCCTATGTATCTCCTTTTAACCTCCCTTTGGCCGCCATATGCATGTTGGTTTTGAGGTTGGTTATAGGTTTGCTTTTTTCTCCTTCCTGTCAAATGGTAACTCCTTGCAAAACACTTGAAATCATGATTAGATGGTTTCTCAGATTGTGATCCTCAAGTGACCAACTTGAAGTTCACAATCCAAGAGATTAAAGCACAAACTATAAATTCTTATTTGGTCTTGGTCAATGATCCAAATTTCAAACTATAGTTCAATCTCTTGTAATTTCAGTGAGCAAATGAGTTTTGACAAGTGATTATGTATTCTTTCCAATCATCAAATAAATCAAGTTAAACCATGAATATATTGGTAAAGTGCAATGGTTTAAACGATTTTTCAAGTGAAGATCAAGAGTGATTAGAAATGAATACTAGGTGAGATTTACTTACCTTTTGGAAGAGAAACGCCTTGTACAAGGGTGGGCTCATTGGGTGGGACACTTTCATTGTTTGGTCTCCTTTGGGTCTTCATCCTAAGAAAATATTTTTGTATTTTTGTTTGATTTTTGAAAAACTCCTGCAAAATAGAAATAATAGTTAAAAACCATATGGGTTGCCTCCCATAAAGCGCTTTTGTTTTAAGTCATTTAGCTTGACTCCTTTTCTTTCTTTCAATCGTGGTGAAGAGTGGCTGAAGGGCAAAGGATCCCTTTAGCTTCTCCATTCTCCGGTGTAGTGGATTCTTGTGGTGGTGTTGTCGCGCCATAGTCATCTCTCACATCATCTTTGAAAACCAATGCCTTGGGGAAAAGCTTCATAGTTCTCTCAAGCTTCTCTTCAATGGATTGGTCACCTTTAAGCTCCGAATCTTTTGGTGTAAAGATTCTTATCTTGTGAAAGAGATTAGGTGCACCATTAGTCTCCTCTTCAGCTCCATATCATCAAAGGTTGGAAGTAAGATGGAGTTGATTCTTAAAGACATTTTCATGCCTCGGCTCCAATGTTTTCTTCTTCTCCTTTGGTTTTGGGTAGCGCTCACTCTCTCTTCTTTCTCCATGCAGCACTTCTTTCTTAGGTAATGAGAGTGGCTTCTTCTGGTGGTAGCTTGGTCGCACTTGGCACTGACCTGAAATTTACACTTGGGAAAAAGATATCTTGCCGGATGTGGCCAAAAGATAGATGATTCCCAAAGTAGTTTAGGACCGCTCCAGCTGTAGCAAGGAATGGGGTTCCAAGAATCAGTTGATTCCTCTTTGAGCCTTCCCAAATCATGACTTGAAAGTCAGTTGGGACCGATCGACCCCCTATTTCCATCATGACATCTTCAAGCATTCCATAAGGTTCCATGCACGATAGATCCGCGAACTCGACTCTTATCTTGGGGCTCTTGAATTCCTTGAATCCCAAATCTTTTGCAAGTGCAAGAGACATTAGATTAACATTAGCACCAGTATCACATAGGCAATCGTGGAGTTGAATGCCATTGATACTTGAAGTTATCACAAACTTCCCCGGATCTTCTTGTTTTTGTAGTGGCTTGCCTTCAAGTCTTCTCTTGTAAGCTCTTCTTGATTCCCAACTGTATCTCTCCGGTTTGTGCCTCTCCTTAGGCTCATTTTCTTCTTCTTCCCCTTGAGATAGTGTAGGAACAATAGTGCCATCTATAGATGAGACAACACTACAAAATTTTTGAGTGTTTACCTCATTTTGTTTCTTGGCCGCCTCGGCTGTTTGAGCGATTTGCACCTCAAGCTTTTGAACGTGAGTAGAGAGAGACCCAAACTTGCTGCTTAGATCACCAAACATGTGATCAAGCTTCTCATATAGGTTCTTGGTGATCAATCTCTGCTCCTCCATGTATTTCTTCAACGCCACGTCAACCTTCTCTCCGGTTTGGGTTGGATTTGTTTCTTGAGAAAAAGTGAATGGTTGCTTCACTTGGTACATCCCTCTTGGATAGACTTGTTGTGGCTTGGATTGGTATTGGCCTCCTTGATACGCTCCTTGATTGGGGTAGACTTGGTCATTTGGATTCTCCACATTGTTGCTCCGGTATGATAGGTTTGGATGCGCGCGAAATGGTGGATTGAATCCTCTATTCCCATAGTTTCCTCCAATGTAGTTGACTTCCTCTAGATTCTCTTCAGTGCCATCTCTCATGAAATCCATAAGAGTGTCTTCATTTGTGGCTAGGGCATCTTCAATGGCGTGAACTCCTTGTCGGCTTTTAAGTAGTTGTGAAACCATGTTCCTTAGCTCCGAGATTTGAGCTGATTCTGATGAGCTCGTGGTCTTCACGCTTCTATTGTAGTCAGGGCATGCATTGGCATCACTAGCAGCGAGATTCTCAATCAAAAGCTTTGCCTCCGGCACCGACTTGGTCATGAAATTACCATTGCTCGCGGTATCGAGAGAAAGCTTGTATTTATGATCAATCCCATTGTAAAAGATGTTCCAAAGGTTACCTTCTGAAAAGCCATGGTTAGGGCAGCTTCTTGTGTACTCCTTGAATCTCTCCAAAGCTTCATAGAATGACTCCATTGAATCTTGCTTGAAACCAGAAATCTTGCTCCTTATAGAGTTGGATCTTTGCTTAGTGTAGAATTGGTTCAAGAAAGCTCCCTTGTATTCATTCCATGTTGTAATGGACTGAGGTGGTAAAGATTTTACCCATCTTAGCGCCTTGTCACTTAGAGAAAAAGTGAATAGCTTGCACTTGAAGTAATCCGGTGATACTCCATTAACACGAGTTGTGCTACATATCTCCTCAAAGGTGTCGACGTGATCAAGAGGATGCTCAGTGGGCAAACCATGGAATTGGTTTTGCTTCACCAAGGCAATGATCTGCGGTTTGATCTCAAAATCGTTCCTTGGAGGTAGAGGCGGTCGGATTGGATTCCGATCCATAAAGAAAGGCATCGGACGAATCAAAGTCTCCCATAGTTTGGTGCCTTGGATGCTGCGCGTTTGGCACTCTCCTTGGAGGTGCGTGAGGTTGGTCTTGAGGCATCCCTTGGTTGTCACCGTGACGATGATGTCCATTTGCAAACGCCGGTGGTGGTCGCGGCGGGTTAAGAGGTGGCTGTAGCGGCTCAGCTGCATCGGGCGCGTTCGGATTGGGTGGAGGAACGTCTCTGGCCGGTGCTGGCTGGTCAGCTCTAGCTTCTGCTGGATTAGGAGGATCATTGGCTCTCCTCTCTTGGTCGGGCGGGTTGTGTGGCCTATTTGGCGCGCCTTCTCCGCCTGGATTCATTCTTTCTCTCCTTAGTCGCCTAAGTGTGCGCTCAAGTTGGTCAATGTCAAGATCTTCTTCAATGGTTGTATTTGGATTGGACCTTCTTGTCATGCACCTTAGAAACACACAAAGAGAGAGAGTTAAGTAAAATTTTTATGAGTTTTTAAGATTTTATGAAAAACAAAAACAAAGAAAAGTGAAAGATGAGATGAGCTAGTCTTGAAATCAATCAAGAGGTGTGAAGGAAAAGCAACTCCTCCCCGGCAACGGCGCCAGAAAGCTTGATGGCGGGTTTAGATTGCCTCAAATTTTCACAATTTATAAACCCAACTAATGAGCTGCAAGTGCACAGCCGTGTTGTAGTCGGGGTCGAACACGAGGAGGAAGTGTTCTCACTTAACACCTTGTGAGATTGGTTTGTAGCTAGCTCGCAATATGAGGTGGTTTTGGACCTAGAATGAGAAAACAAACAAAAGAAATGTGAGTGAGTTGTAAACAATTTAAAACAAGAGTTAGGCAAAGGACAATCATATGGAGCAATGATGAAAAGATAGTTGCATGGGATGTGTGTAGAGCCGTCTTGAACATGAATCACTAGTGTATGGTCTTTCCACTGTCGTGGCTCCAACCACTATGTTTAAAACAACCTAATATACTCAGCTTTCGTTGGCTATTAGAATTGCAAACATGCATTAAAGGTGATCAAGATTCAATTGTTCACAATAAACCATAACTCAGCTTTCGTTGGCTATGATCTATTGCTCACCAAATACTAGTTTTGAGATCTAGATTCAGCACTGTCGTGGTTCTATTTCTCTAAGATCAGATTACTAGATGTACGGTAGAGTAATCATGCATTAAGCTCAAGTAAAGGTGAAGATCCATAAGATAAATCCCAATAAGTTGCAACACAATCAAATCATCACGGCCACCATAGATCTCCTCGGCCTAACTAAGAGATCTACTCGGCCATGATGCAAACAAGCAAGCAAAGCATGATTGTAAACATTATGCAAGTATTAAAAGAGATAAAGGGATGAAGAAAGCTTCTCTATTGATGAACAAAGTCGGATTCTCCCTTGAAAACTCTTAAGATCAAGTTTATAGAAATGGAAACAATGAAAAAGAAAGAACAAGAGTTGAGCGGCGCCTCCTTCTTCTTGGACGATCTCCTAGGGCTTCTCTCCTCTGAACTCTCTTCTCACACGTACACTCTTTGATAATTTTCGGACTCTCTTCTTCAGCGGCTAAAAACATGTATATATGGGCGAAGTCGCGTAGGGTTTTCTTCATGCCGGAAAAGGAAAGTTTCCCGTGAGCAAAGCCTTCTTCTCCACGTCGTGTATGGGCCGACATTGTACCAAGGAAAGCTCCAAACATTAGCCAGGCCTCTTCTCTATTCGATCAAGGCCTTTGGCGCTGCTGCTCGGGCCATTAGACACTCCAAATCCTCCATGGGCTTCGTTTACTCGCTTACCGCTTACCGGACATGTCTCGGTAGAAAATAAGTCTAGGCCTCATAGTTGATCCAAATGGCTTCATTCCACTTCGACGTGATGCATGACTCAAGTATCTATCTTTCCATATCAAGATCGTAACTTTTGGACGTCGGGAACTCCTCCGCGCGCGGCCAAACTTCCGAAGCTTCGTTCTGCGCGCTAGCGAGAACTAACACTTGGAGATAAAATGATCTTCTTGACTTGGAAACTTGCATGGATCTTGATTTAGGGCTCTTTTACTCCTTTTTGCATCCTTTTTGATTATTTCACCTACAAAGACTTCAAATCCCACAAATACAAGAAAACTACCTCTAAAGGCAAAGAATCTTGCAAAAACCGTTTGAAAACATAGGTAATATATAGTAAAATCATGTAAAATATGGTCATATCAATGAGCAATGGGCAAGGAGGTTACAACAAAGGATACTATAATTACAAGTCCAACCCTGCCATGTCATACCGCAACACTGATGTTCCTAACCCTCAGGACCAAGTATATCCTCAACAACAAGCAGCTCGATCGAGTCAGGTGCCACAACATGGGTATGGTCAAAAGAACAATTACCAAGGACCCCAAGGCACTTTCCCTGGAAAACAAATGAATATCCCACCAGGTTTCCCCCACCAACCACCCCAGCCTGCACCTTCGCAAGAGAATGAGCTCAAGGCAATGCTAAAGCAACTGCTTCAAGGGCAAGCTGATGGGGTAGTGGACACAAGCAAGAAGCTAGCTGAAATAAACTCCAAGATCGAGAATCTCAACACAAGGGTTTACTCTCTGGAGAATCATGCTTCTTCTGTTGCTGCTGCTACAAAGCAAGGACAACTACCTGGTAAAGCTATTCAGAACCCCAAGGAACAGTGCAAGGTCATCTTCACTCAAGATGGACTTGTTGAAGAAGAGGATCAAGAAAGGGTCATTGAAGATTTTTGTTTACTGCTGAATGATGAAGAGATTGTTGCTGCTGAGGCTCCTGGAGTCCAGATTGATCAACCAGAAGTGCATGCACCTACTGTGGCCATTCACACTTCACCAGTTGAGCTCGCACGACAAGCTCGATCGGCAGCTCGATCGAGTCCAACTCTAGCTAGATCGAGTCCGACCTCTTCTGTCCCAAAACCCATTTTGCTTGATCCCTATGATCGCGGGATCAGGTCTTCCCTTTTCCTATCCCTGATTCTGCAAGTGCACAGATCAAAAGTAGTAAACGGGTATCGAACCCAAGGAGTAGATAAGTACACTTCGAGTATTGCAAGTCTAATATAGCTAGGAAACAAATATGATTTAGAGTTTTTGATTGAGTAGCAAAGTAAATCAAACAGCAAACTAAACGGTTTATGAAATTCAATAGAGGGAAAACGCTAGGCAATGAGAAACTCGCAGAGATTCAAAGTTAACAAGATATTAGAAGGTTTACTAGGGTTTGCGCTATCTAGAACTCAGGTCACGATTGTATGATCTTTCCACTGTCGAGGCTCCGACCCTTTGTTAATCTACCTAGTCGCTAAACTTTTGGTATGTCCCTAGGTGATTAAATCAAGCAATAATTCGTTCAAGACCCAATTGTTCACAACCCCTCATAGTCTATGAAGTTTTGCTCACCAAATACTTAGTTCAGGTTATATAGCAAGCTTTTGGAGAGTATATGAAACCTAAGATCTGATGCTAGTTGATCAGAAAAGCAAGCAGCAATGAATTCAAGCAGAGGCGAAGATGCGATATGATAAACCCTATGTGACTTCTAACAACCTATCAAACCATGAACTCTTTGATAGATCTCACAACCTAACTAGTGAATTACTCAGACATAATCAAAGCAAAAACACAAAGAGATGAAGAAAACATGATTGCAATAAAAATCAAAGTATGAAATTGAATACAAGGGCGGCTCTCTTTCTCAAGAGGCTAAAAATATATATATAGTGCTAGGTCTTTTGAGGCGGCTTAGGGTTAAGCCGGGCCTTGAAAATATGAAATCGGGCTTCAAAAGGGCTTCGGGTCGACCGCGGCGTTGGGATGGTGATGTACTTGCATTTTACATAGTTTTAGCACATCTTTTACGCATCTTTTGCATAGTTTTAGCTCAAAGTATGAAATTGAATACAAGGGCGGCTCTCTTTCTCAAGAGGCTAAAAATCCATATATATAGTGCTAGGTCTTTCTAGAGGCGGCTAGGGTTAAGCCGGGCTTGAAAACATAATTTGGGCTTCAAAAAGGGCTTCGGGTCGACCGCGGCGTTGGGATGGTGATGTACTTGCATTTTACATAGTTTTAGCACATCTTTTATGCATCTTTTGCATAGTTTTAGCTTCCATTTGCATCATATCTCTTATGCATTCATGTTAGTTTTAGGTTGCATTTGCATACATATGCATGTTTGGCCCTTTGAAATAGGTCTTTTGGAGCATTCTGGAGCATATGGGACATAAGGAGCATGGAGGGACTTGGCGCATGGAAGCAGCTCAACTGGACACGCAAAGGAAGAAGGGAGAAGCCATCTTGAAGACCAGCTCGACCGTCCACTCGACCAACCGGTCGAGTTCCTCAACTCGACCGGCCAAGCTTCAACTCGATCGAGCTGGGGAGTCAAAGTCAAACCCGAAAAATGTTGCTTCCCCCTTGACTTCCTTTGACCCTAAACCTAATCCTCTTGTATTTAAAGGCTCTAAGCCACGAAAAAACCACCAAGCTTTAGATTATCTTTTGTTTTAGCTTTCTTTAATTTTATTGTCTTTTACTTTTTAGAACTAATCCCATCTTTGTGTTCTTGAAGCTCTTGCTTCTTGAATCTTAGATCCTGGATTATCTTGCTTTGTATTTGCACTTGCTTATTTCAATAAAAGTTGTTTAATTTCATCTCCTCTTTCTTATGATGTCTATTTCATTGCATTTGCTTGTGTTTACATTCATGTGTAGTGAGTAGTTACCCATTAGGGTTTGAGATGGGATAGATTAGAGGTTTCATATGCTTAATCCTTCTAGCTTATGGTCTTAATCTAGATTCTCTCTCTTTTGGATAGATCTTAAGGCTACATGACCACTACCCCTGGCTTGTAAGTCCTTAGGCGACTCCCCACACGAAGTGATGGCATTCGCTGGAAAAGATCCACTAAGAGCTCCAATATCTCTTGCTCTAGACAATAGAGGTCTAAGGGGTTGGATGGATTAGTTTGGGCAATGATCCTATGCCTCCAAGGTTTGATTCTCACTGGCTAACCCCCTGTTTCTGAGATCATTCCTTGGTTGATAGCCTCCACCTTGGGAAAGGGTTGGCTAGGCATTGAGAAGCCCAATATCAAGAGAAGCCTTGATACAAGGAGTTTTAAGAGCTAGATTGATTAAGTGTAGATTCCTTTGATTGCAAAACCCTGTCTTGAACCCTAATTCTCTCTTTATCTTGTTAAAGTCGTCACCTTTACTGTTTTTGCTAACTCGACCCTAAACTCGATCGAGCTGGTACTCTGTCCCACTCGACTCGAGTCCTTGGTCGAGCTGACTTGTTTACTGCTTTGTTTACTTTTATTGCACTGCATTTTCATTTTTAGGTTGTTAGTGTTACTTCAAATCTATAACTGCTTGCTTGACTTCCTGGTTGTTTCATATTCTCATAGAGTGACAAGTTTCCCATTTTGGATTGATAACCTCTTATACTTCAATGACTATGATGGTTAAGAGGAATTGTTGATGTGTTTGTGTTTGCATCTTACCACCTTCATTACCACTGTTGCATTCCACTCATCTCATTTCATTCTTTTCACATCACACACAAATCCTATCATCAATTTGGCGCCGTTGCCGATTTGGGAATATTTTTGTTGCATTTGAGTTTCAAACACACTTGGACGATCAAGCTATACCACCCCTGTTCTATTGTACTGCTGGGTTTTTGTCTCTTTTTGCAGGTGTATGCGAACTCGATCGAGTCGGTCACAGAAGACTTGGTCGAGCTAGACATTACAACGGGTAGAAAGAGGGTTCAGAGGTCACAGAGGGTACAAGAGGAACCTGAGGTGCTTGTTGCTGATACAATGGATGTACCAGAGGGGAATGGAAACCCTTTGGGACATGGACTCGGTCGAGCTAGGCAAACTCGACCGATTGGTCAAGGAGATGCTCCAAACCGCCACCAACAGAGACAAGGGATTGTTCCACCACCAGTGCAGAACCACAACTTTGAGATCAAGCTGGGAATGATCAACCTTGTCCAGAACAAGATGTTCCATGGATTGCCAAGTGAAGACCCCATTGACCACCTTGATGAGTTTGATAGGCTTTGTGATTTGACAAAGATCAATGGTGTCTCTGAAGATGCCATCAAGCTGAGACTCTTTCCTATGTCTCTAGCTGACAAAGCTCACCAATGGGAGAAGAGCTTGCCCCATGGCACAATCACCACTTGGGATGAATGCAAGAAGGCCTTTCTTGCTAAGTTTTTCTCCACCGGTCGCACAGCCAAGCTTAGAGGAGAGATATCCAGCTTCATCCAGCGAAACAATGAGACATTCGCAGAGGCTTGGGAGAGGTTCAAAGGCTACACAAGTCAGTGCCCACACCATGGATTCAACAATGAATCCTACTCTCCACTCTTTATAGAGGATGCTTGCCTAGGTATAGGGAGATGCTAGACACAGCTAGCAATGGGAACTTCCTCAACCAGGATGTAGATGATGGCTGGCAACTTGTGGAGAACATAGCTAACTCAAATGGAAGCTATGGAGAAGAGTATGATCGCACCAACCGGAGCTCGACCCACCACTCGATCGAGTCAGACGAAAAGTTGAGAAAAGATGTTAAGGCATTGAATGAGAAGTTGGATAAGCTGATCCTAGCTCAGTCCACAATGAAGAAAGTCAACTTTGTGTCTGCTGAGGAGATGGAACCAGTCCAAGAAGGGGAGGATACACAATTTGCTGAGGTATGCTACATGAGCAATGGGCAAGGAGGTTACAACAAAGGATACTATAACTACAAGTCCAACCCTGCCATGTCATACCGCAACACTGATGTTGCTAACCCTCAGGACCAAGTCTATCCTCAACAACAAGCAGCTCGATCGAGTCAAGGACCACAACATGGGTATGGTCAAAAGAACAATTACCAAGGACCACAAGGCACTTTCCCTGGACAACAAATGAATATCCCACCAGGCTTCCCCCACCAACCGCCCCAGCCTGCACCTTCACAAGAGAATGAGCTCAAAGCAATGCTAAAGCAACTACTTCAAGGGCAAGCTGATGGGGTAGTGGACACAAGCAAGAAGCTAGCTGAAATAAACTCTAAGATCGAGAACCTCAACACAAGGGTTTACTCTCTGGAGAATCATGCTTCTTCTGTTGCTGCTGCTACAAAGCAAGGACAACTACCTGGTAAAGCTATTCAGAACCCCAAGGAACAGTGCAAGGTCATCTTCACTCAAGAAGGACTTGTTGAAGAAGAGGATCAAGAAAGGGTCATTGAAGATTTTTGTTTACTGCTGAATGATGAAGAGATTGTTGCTGCTGAGGCTCCTGGAGTCCAGATTGATCAACCAGAAGTGCATGCACCTACTGTGGCCATTCACACTTCACCAGTTGAGCTCGCACGACAAGCTCGATCGGCAGCTCGATCGAGTCCAACTCTAGCTCGATCGAGTCCGACCTCTTCTGTCCGACAGCCTGTTTTGCTTGATCCTTATCAACCGGTTGCCGCTTCCTCGTCTCGCCTACTTAGTCAAGGTCACAAGGAAGTGATTCACAAGTTCAGAAGAGATCTCAGTGGGATTGGAATTGAGTTGCCTCTATGGATAGCATGAGTGAGGCATTTGATCAAATGCAAATGGTCAAGGATGTTCTAGCCAACAGTGATAAAGTTTCAGAGGTCCTACAAGAGTCTACTCATCAGTTCAACCTGCTTACTTCACCCACCTTCCTACCAAAGGTCAAGGATCAAGGGAAATTCACTCTCCCTTGCACACTTGGGCATCTTGAGATTGACAATGCCTTAGTGGATTCTGGAGCAAGCATCAATCTGATCTCTCTCTCCATGGCAGAGAAGCTAGGCATAGCTGGAGCCTTGCAGCGCCCTACTACTTCAATCATCTTTGGAGATGCAACTACTAAGTCTCCTCTTGGAGTGTTCAAGAACTATCACTTGAAAATTGGAGAATGCATCATCCAAACTGATCTCACTGTGATGGAAATGGAAGAAGAGAAGGATTTGCCTTTGTTATTGGGAACCCCTTTCCTTAGTACAGTTGGCGCTTCAATTGACTTTCACAAGCAAGAAGTGATCCTTCACAAGGTGAATAGTTTGGTGTCATATCGCTTGCAGCCTAGAGGTTCAGACTTTTGTGCCACAATTGACAGTACCAATCTCAGTTCTAAGAGTCATGGAGCTACAAAGGTTGTGAAGGAAAGGGTTGACAAGGAACCAAGAGTTGGGAAGGATAAGGATGAGAGAGGACCAAGGATTGAGAAGCCACGTCTTGAGAGGGCTAGAGTTGAGAAACCACGATCTGATAGGCCAAGAGCTGAGCGACTTGTTCAAGCCCCTTGTGTGCTTGATGAAGAGAGCCTTCAAGCTTTGTTTGATGAGCCACTAGGAAGGGCTCTAAAGAAGGGGAGGATGCAGCCTCTAAGGCAAGACCAGGAGATAAAAGAAAGGATCCACCAGCTCAGGCCCCTTCAGTCAAGCCATCTCAGCTCACAATGACCTTGTTCCCCACCAAGTTTGAAAATGGGAAGATTGAGTACAAGATAAGGTACAAGGGGAGATCAAGGCCATTCTCTAGAGCCAAGGCCTTGGTGACTTCAGAACAGTCCAGGGACCCAACCAAGCTAAAGGAGCTTCTGTCTCAAGTCCTCACTATCACCCTTGATGGTGGGACTAGCTCAACCAATGCCTAAGAAGGTAAAGGTCAAGCTATGGGACCTTAAACAAGCTCACTTGGGAGGAAGTCCCATGTTTATCCTTGTACATACTCTATTTATGCAATTTCTATCTATCTTTATGTTTTTAACCTTTGAATAAGTTAAGTTTAGGTGTCAAGGAGCCAGCTCGACCGATAGCTCGATCGAGCTAGAAACCAGGGCAACTCGATCGAGTCACAACTCGACCAAGGTAAGTTTTTGAATTTCAAATTCATAACCGTTTTCTTGGTCAAGGGAGTGGGTCCCACAAGCTGATTTTGGTCCCCCACTACCCTAATTCGATCAGAGAATCCCTAGTTTCTTGTTCCCTCTTTATTTCATCTTTTAATCTCAACCACACATCTCAAACAACTCTCTTCCCCATAACTCGATCGAATCCACCTTCTCTCTCTCCCACAATCTTAAATTTCTGAAATCATCCATCTCTCTCTTCACCACAAGAAAAATCGATTTTCAATCCCTCTCTCTTAAGTTTTTGCGATTTCATTTGTTCTTCATCTTGTTTTGCTTGTTCTTAGTTTACTGCTCTTCAATTCCATCATCCAAGCAAGGTATGAACCCTAAACCCTTGATCTTCATCTCGATTCCTCCATTGCTTGTTTCCTCTTATTTTTGATTGCATGTGTCCCTTGTGGACTTGTATTTGAGAATTGCTTTCATTTTTGCTCATGTATAATCTTGTGAATTTGCTTCACCTCACCTCTGTTTTGCCTTAGAACTTGTTGCATGTGCTTGAAATTGAATTTGAGTTTGGTAATGGTTAAGGTGCTTGTTTTCACTAGAATTGCTTATTGTTCCATTTACTAGTTGTTCTTGGTTCAATTTGATTATTAGCATCCTTTCCAGCTCTTAATACTGAATTAGGTTCGGTTATACTCTGTTTTCACCCACTCGATCGAGTTTGTCACTCGAGTTTTTTGACTCGATCGAGCTGAGTGTCGAGTTGGCCGAACCAACATTACAACTCTAATTCTTTGAGTTTTTGATGCATTTCAGGAACCCAACTCAAGAAGCAACCGTTCAAGATGTTGAGAGGTGAAGGAAGCAAGCAGCATTCACAAAGAAGGAGATAACAAGAGGAGCAAGGAGGATACTCAGACACTAACCAAGGAGGATGAGGAAGAGATTGAGAGGGTGAGGGAAGAGGAGAACCAAAAGAAGGAATGATCCTCTCAGCAGTGAGAGCGAAGTAGGAGAGTTTGAAATTGGAGTGAACATCCCACATGAGGAGAATGATGACTCCCCAAGTGAAGAAGAGTGAAGAGATCAATCAAGAGATTGAGGAGAGTGAGCATGAGAGCAATGAGAATGTGCCCATGGAAGAGGAGGAGTCAGAGGAAGAAGAGGATGAGCTCCCCATGTACCAAGAGCACTATGATGCTCTCTTCTCCATGGACTTTGTGGAGACCAAGTACCCACATGACACACATGAAGGCTCTTGGATCTTTGAGATGTGGAGTTGGTCCTCAAGAACATGCACTTGGCCAAGTTCTTCTCTTACCGCTGGAATCATACAAGGAGCTCACTTGTGAGTTCTTGGCTCAATGAGGTTCCACAAGTACAAGAGCTCGATCGAGCTGATTGGACCAAGGTTGGGATGGATCACGTTCTTGGCAAGGGAGAAAGGAAGGTGACCTTTAGGCAGTTGGAGATCTTTTTGGGTTCACTATGGAGAGGGAACCATGGAACTTCAAGGAGGATGAGCTCCAAAGGGTTTGGGCTACAATCGCTGATGGAGTACTCTTCCTCAAGGTCAAGGCAGCTCAGATCAGGAGCCCAGTGTTGAGATATGTGCACAAGGCACTTGCCAACACCTTCTTTGCAAGGAAGGCACTGGGACAATCAACGAGGGAGAAGTCAAGCTCCTTGACATGGGAATCAAGCCCATCATCTCACGCACAAGCGATGGGAGAAATCAGGGGAGATAGATCTGCAGGGAACTCATGCCTCTCCTTGACCAGCTCTCCTCCTACAAGACAGCCTTACAACACTAGGCACAAAGAGGAAGGAAGCTTAGTGTTGGAGGGTCATCACACCTATCTCTGTGCTGCTGGAGTCCATGGACAAGAGAGCTACTGAACCAGCAGTTGGATGGACATCAAGTTTTGCAAGACCAACCTCTCATTGAGCACAAGGAGTTAGATGGGAGGTTCCAATTCAAGTTCACACATCCATTGGTTGGCCCTCCAAGCTTCTCCTGCCCAACCCTGAGCTCACCACAGTTCTAGGGGTGAGAACATTGATTCAGACCCCCTGTGTACACATTAGTTGGGCATGAAGAGGATTTGCGAGAAGAGGAGCCTGAGCTCGATCGAGCTGAGGATCGAGTTGAGGATCAGCGCCAGTGAATGAGGATTTGGGTGAGCCTGAGTGCTATACTTTGAGGAGTATGAGGCTCCAAGGATGAACCCCTCTGTTGTGGCTGCCACAAGAGGATTGGACTTCTCCAAAGGTTCAACAAGTGGCAAGGGAAAGCCATTGGAAGATGCAAAAGTCCATGGACAAGATGGTGAGCAAGATCAAGAGTTTGGAGAAGAAGGTTTCTGGTTCTTCAAGCAAGAAGAAGAAGTCCAAGGCTCCACACTTCCCTAGGAGTAGGTCACTCCTCACCACTCCAAGAAGGCTCCCTGCCCAAGAGCCTCACAGAGCCTCTCTTTCGAGCCAAGGGAAGGAGAGGACAACACGCAGAGAAGGAGGAAGAGTTCCAAGACGCTCCAGCTCGACCACTCGATCGAGTCCAAACAGAGGAAACTCACTCGATCGAGCTGAGGGTCGAGTTGACCTGGAGGAGCCCTGTTTGAGAACCCTGGGATTCGAGTACGATTCAACCCAGTACCAGGACTTCTCTCAGACCTCTGGACTCCCTACAACCGCTTCGAGCGAGCCAACTCCACCAAGGCCAAGGAAGCCACACCCACTTTGAAGATGAAGAAGAGGAGGAAGAGGAGCCACAAGCTCGATCGAGTGAGCCGCAAGAGGCAACCCAGTTGCATGGAGTGCTCCTGATGGCCGTCTCCCATCTCCAGACCACGACCTAGTCTCCCAGTTCTTTGGGGGACACTGAGGTATCCAAACACCAACCCTTGTATATACCATTTCATATTTTCTTGTCTTTGTTCTTGTTTTTCTTGGTTTTGCCCTCTTGAATCTTTCACTGAATTTTTCTCACACAAGGGACTGTGTGATTTAAGTTTGGGGGAGGGTTCAAGAGATGATTTAACCTTGTTTTCTTTGTTCTTAGTTTTTCATTTATCTTTTGCATAGAAAAACCAAAAAAATCATAAAATTTTCAAAAAATCCAAAAATATTTTCATCTTTTTGCTTATGGTCTTGATCGAGTCCAAACTGAGGAAACTCAACTCGATCGAGCTGAGGGTCGAGTTGACCTGGAGGAGCCCCTGTTTGAGAACCGGATTCGAGTACGATCCCACGCCTTACCAGGAGACTTCTCCCAGACCACTGGACCCCTACAACCGTTCGAGCAAGCCAGCTCCACCAAGGCCAAGGAAGCCACACCACTTGAAGATGAAGAAGAAGAAGAGGAGCCACAAGCTCGATCGAGTGAGGCGACCCAGTCGAGTGGAGTGCTCCTGATGGCCGTCTACCATCTCCAGACCACGACCTTGCCTCCCAGTTCTTTGGGGGGCACTGAGGTATCCAAACACCAACCCTTGTATATACCATTTCATATTTTCTTTGTTTTTTTTTTCTTGGTTTTGCCCTCTTGAATCTTTCACTAAATTTTTCTCACACAAGGGACTGTGTGATTTAAGTTTGGGGGAGGGTTCAAGAGATGATTTAACCTTGTTTTCTTTGTTCTTAGTTTTTCATTTATCTTTTGCATAGAAAAACCAAAAAAATCATAAAATTTTCAAAAAATCCAAAAATATTTTCATCTTTTTGCATTCATATTTGTTAGACTTGTTTAGGATTGCATTTTTCACTTGCATTGTTGATTTGACTTTGAAAACTTGTCATCTTTTGCGATTTCTTGAGTGCCCTGTTTTTAGATTCTTTTGTGCATTAGGGTGAGATTGATTGAGCAGCAAGAACCATGTTTATCTTGATCATATCACTGCATGCACATCTCATTCAACCATTGCTGTGATTTGATGCATTTCCCTATCTATTTGAACCATAACTTGATCTTTAATTACCAATGCTTGCATTTGATTTCAACTCATGGCTACCACATACATATCTGGACATTCTTTACCTTTTCATATCCCTTTGCTTGTCCAGATAGCTGATCTCTATCTTTGAGACAGTTACCACACCTTAAACCTAAGCCTTTTCATTTCAAACCCCATTTATCTCTTGTGCGAATGTGAGAACCTTTCTTGGCTTTGCTTAGCATAAGGTGTTGTGTTTAAACCGGCAGGGGCAGTAGTTCTAGTTGTCTAGTTCTCTTGGGATTGTTTTCAGGCTAAGTTTGGGGGTGCCAACTCGAGCTCGATCGAGTTGGGTGTAAAAACCAGAAAAGTGGTAAAAATTGGGAAAAACCCAAAGGAAAAAGAGTTTAGTTAAGTCCAGGGAGTTGGCAGTGTTAAAAAGGGTCTAGTAAAGGTTTGGGAAGTTAAAAAAGGAAAGTAAAAAGGGTTCTAAGTAGAATGAAAAGAAGGCAAAGCCTCAAGTGTCAAAAAGGAAAAGAAAAGTTCCCTAAGTGTTTAGAAAATCCCAAACCGCTAGATGTTACCTCAAGAAGCCTCTCCCTAGGAAGTTCTTAAAAGAAAAGTGAGCAAAGCTCCTCAGTTTCAAAGGCGAAATGCCAAAAAGGGTAGTTAGGATTTTGTTCTAAAAAGCTCTAAGTGTTGAACTCGATCGAGTTAGGATTAGGCGGCTCGAGCTGCTGTTCTTGCATCATCTTTGGTTCTAACACTTAGCCTTCTGCCAAAGCAAAGCCACTTTCTTGAGAGATCCCTGTTACTAAACCACCATACAAAAGAGACCCTCTTTGTCTCTTAACCCATAAACCCTTGAAACCAAATGAGTTGATTGATCTTGCATGTTTTTGGTTCACTGTTTTTGCTTAATGAATGTTAAAGGGATTTGCTGATTTGAATGCATTGTTTGAGTGACTGTGAAGTGGGATTGATGTTGATAAGCATGGTTAAATCTTAATGAATATCTCTCACCTTGTTGCATTCTAGAATCTCTAAGTTGGACATTTAGCAAATCGCTTTTGAGGACATGTTTTTAAGTGTTGAATCAGCTTTTTTCAAACCTCATCTCTTTCTTGTTCTATTTGTTTGCTTGAGGGCAAGCAAAGTTCAAGTTTGGGGGTGTTGATGTACTTGCATTTTACATAGTTTTAGCACATCTTTTATGCATCTTTTGCATAGTTTTAGCTCCATTTGCATCATATCTTGTTCCTTTTCTCTTCTTATGCATTCATGTTAGTTTTAGGTTGCATTTGCATACATATGCATGTTTGGTCCTTTGAAATAGGTCTTTTGGAGCATTCTGGAGCATATGGGACATGAGGAGCATGGAGGGACTTGGCACATGGACGCAGCTCAACTGGATACGCAAAGGAAGAAGGGAGAAGCCATCTTGAAGACCAGCTCGACCGTCTACTCGACCAACCGGTCGAGTTCCTCAACTCGACCGGCCAAGCTTCAACTCGATCGAGCTGAGAAGTCAACAGTCAAACCCGAAAAATGTTGCTTCCCCCTTGACTTTCCTTTGACCCTAAACCTAATCCTCTTGTATTTAAAGGCTCTAAGCCACGAAAAAACCACCAAGCTTTAGATTACTTTTTGTTTTAGTTTCTTTTAATTTATTGTCTTTTACTTTTGAGAGCTCTAATCCCATCTTTGTGTTCTTGAAGCTCTTGCTTCTTGAATCCTAGATCCTGGATAATCTCTTTGTATTTGCACTTGCTTATTTCAATAAAAGTTGTTTAATTTCATCTCCTCTTTCTTATGATGTCTCTTTTATTGCATTTGCTTGTGTTTACATTCATGTGTAGTGAGTAGTTACCCATTAGGGTTTGAGATGGGATAGATTAGAGGTTTCATATGCTTAATCCTTCTAGCTTATGGTCTTAATCTAGATTCTCTCTCTTTTGGATAGATCTTAAGGCTACATGACCACTACCCCTGGCTTGTAAGTCCTTAGGCGATTCCCCACACGGAAAGTGATGGCATTCGCTGGAAAAGATCCACTAAGAGCTCCAATATCTCTTGCTCTAGAAATAGAGGTCTAAGGGGTTGGATGGATTAGTTTGGGCAATGATCCTATGCCTCCAAGGTTTGATTCTCACTGGCTAACCCCCTGTTTCTGAGATCATTCCTTGGTTGATAGCCTCACCTTGGGAAAGGGTTGGCTAGGCATTGAGAAGCCCAATATCAAGAGAAGCCTTGATACAAGGAGTTTTAAGAGCTAGATTGATTAAGTGTAGATTCCTTGATTGCAAAACCCTGTCTTGAACCCTAATTCTCGCTTTCTTGTTAAAGTCGTCACCTTTAGCTTTTTCTCAACTCGTCCCTAAACTCGATCGAGCTGGTACTTTGTTCTGACTCGACTCGAGTCTTGGTCGAGCTGACTTCACTGCTTTTTACTTTTGCATTTCATTTTCTTTCATTTAGGTTGTTAGTGTTACCAAATCTTTACTGCTTGCTTGACTTCCTGGTTGTTTCATATTCTCATAGAGTGACAAGTTTCCCATTTTGGATTGATAACCTCTTATACTACATGACTATGATGGTTAAGAGGAATTGATTGATTGTGATTGCACCATACCATTCATCTTTATTCACCCCTGTTTGCATTCCACCTCAAACCGACTTTGCTTGATCCTTACTAACCGGTTGATCCTTCCTCGTCTCGCCTACTTAATCAAGGGCACAAGGAAGTGATTCACAAGTTCAGAAGAGATCTCAGTGCGATTGGAATTGAGTTGCCTCCTATGGAAAGCATGAGTGAGGCATTTGATCAAATGAAGATGGTTAAGGATGTTATGGCCAACACTGATAAAGTTTCAGAGCTTCTGAAGGAGTCTACTCATCAATTCTACCTGCTTACTTCACCAACTTTCTTACCAAAGGTGAAGGATCAAAGGAAATTTACTCTCCCTTGCACACTTGGGCATCTTGAGCTTGACAATGCCTTGGTGGATTCTGGAGCAAGCATCAATCTGAAATCTCTCTCAATGGCAGAAAACCTAGGGATTTCTGGAGCTTTGCAGCGCCCTACTACATCAATCATGTTTGGAGATGCAACTTCTAAGTCTCCTCTTGGTGTGTTCAAGAACTATCACTTGAAAATTGGAGAATGCATCATCCAAACTGATCTTACTGTCATGGAGATGGAAGAAGAGAAGGATCTACCTCTGCTATTGGGAACCCCATTCCTTAGCACAGTTGGCGCTTCAATAGACTTTCACAAGCAAGAAGTGATTCTTCACAAGGTGAATAGTTTGGTGTCATATCACTTGCAGCCTAGAGGTTCAGACTTCTGTGCCACAATTGAGAGTACCACTCTCAGTTCTAAGACTCATGAAGCTCCAAAGCACCTTGTGTACTTGATGAGGAGAGCCTCCAAGCTTTGTTTGATGAGCCACTAGGAAGCGCTCAAAAAGAAGGGGAGGATGCAGCCTCAAAGGCACTTGTGGGAGAGAAAAGAAAGAACCCATCAGCCCAGGTTTCCTCAACCAAGCCATCTCAGCTCACAATGACTTTGTTGCCCACCAAGTTTGAAAATGGGAAGATTGAGTACAAGATAAGGTACAAGGGGAGATCAAGACCATTCTCTAGAGCCAAGGCCTTGGTCACTTCAAACAGTCCAGGGACCCAACCAAGCTAAAGGAGCTTCTGTCTCAAGTCCTCACTATCACCCTTGATGGTGGGACTAGCTCAACCAATGCCTAAAGAGGTAAAGGTCAAGCTATGGGACCTGAAACAAGCTCACTTGGGAGGAAATCCCATGACTATCCTTGTACATATTCTTTATTGCGATCTGTTGGACCCAGATTCCACACCTGGAATCTAGCCCGTAAGGGCCCATTACCTTGATCCAAGATTGAAGTCCAGGCCCACTCAAGCCCAGCAAGAAGACCTCGAGCCCACCAAGCGACTCCCTCGTAAGCCAGTTAACTGCCATCCGAGCTATTCCGGTCGACGTAAAGACGAGCTCCAGCTCGATCAAGGACCAGGTCGGCACTGCGAAGAAAGACGAAGTCAAAGAAGATCTCCTTCAAATCCGGTCTGGTCCGAGATCACCGGGATCGTTAGCTGCACGTGGCGAGATACGCGGAGGTGGATCGTAGCTGATTCTGGAGCTATAAAAGGAGCTTGACAGCAGTCGGATCAAGGGACATTCTTCTTCCGATCATTTAGACCTAATTACTATCATACTTTCCTTGTATTTTCCTTTGAGCTTAGTTCTTTCTCTCTTCTGAGAATTCATTGTAACCATTTTCATTCGTTTAATACAATTCCGTTTAGCCAAATCCTTGCTTACGATTCATTCGACTTACATCAAAATCTAGCCCTAAATCTCCCTAAGTTTCTTCCTTGCAAAACCTATAAATTTCGAGTGTGGTTTTCATAGCCCACATTTTGGCGCCGACTGTGGGGAGGAAACATAGATTTTCTTACACAAGGGTCGAACCTAAGCCAGGTAAGAGCGAAAATGGATACTATCCGGTCGCAAACCCAGGGATCTAACTCCCAAAACTCGATCCCATCGGATCAGATCACCTCGAACATCAGTAGCAGCCAAACTGCTGATGCGACGAGAGATCAGATCGCGTCGAATGTTGGTAGCCGCCAGCTTAGCACTCCACCTCGCGTGGAACCAGTGGTGATCAATCTCGCCACGCCGGTAGCAACCCCGAGCCCGATTCTACCGAATCTGGGTTCGCACACCATCGAGAGACCTCTCTCTCGAGTTTGGGTCAGATCGGAAGATCCCCCAACAACTGTGACTCCACAGAGTCGGACTGTTCCTGTTCGACCTGCATCTGCGACGCAAACTCCTCCGCGAGCTAGTCCAGATGATCTGGCACAGATCAAACAGCTTCTCACCAACCTGGTAAACGGTCAGCGCGACCACGAAACTAGGCTGGAGAGACATGAGAGACGCCTCGCTGAATCTCGAAACATCACTAGCCCGCCTCCGCGGACTCAGCTCGATTTTTCGACGATCTACGCATCTGGCGTACCTCAGGCGCAATTCGTTACGCCTTCGCGACCTCAAGTCTCTCAGACTTTCGGTCCACCGCCGAGCTCGCCACCAGTTGGCATAAACAATACGAGCTCGCACCCAAGCGAGACGAGAGCTCAACCGAACGTTCCGCTCTCATCTCCACCCCCAGGGCCACCTGGTACCGATCCAGCTAGGCCTAGGTGGTTTGGCGCTTCAGCTTTTGCCTCGAGCTCGCAGGCAATGCCTCAGTTCGAGAATCAGCTAGGCGCGACATACGGTTCACAGCCCTCCGCAACAGCGCGAGAGCACGTGAACGGGAATTATCAACAATTCCCTAGCTCGAACGGTCAGCCCAATCGAGCTCAATTCCAAGGAGCTAACGATTCCGAATCAAGCTCCATTCTATCCGATTCCAGCTAATCGGAATCCAGCTGATCCACGTAACCTCGTCGACAGCGAATCTTTCGAAAGATTCCAAGATCGCACAGACCTCGCGTTTCAGCATATGAGCTCAATGTTTCATCAAGCAACGAGCTCAGCTCCTGATATCGACAGAGTGATTAAAGAGTCTAGACGAACTCCTTTTTCACTCAGGATCAAAAGTACCTATATCCGAGATACCAGCAAGCTGCGTATCCCAGAATACTCTGGTAACAGCGATCCGAGAGCTTACATGCGAGCTTTTAACCTCGTCGTATCTCGAGTTCCTTTCTCTCCAGAAGAGATAGAAGCAGCCTACTGCAGGCTCTTCGCTGAGAACCTGATCGGACCAGCTCAAGAATGGTTCTCAACGCTGGACGAAAACTCAATCGATAATTTCGACCAGCTCCAATCAGCCTTCCTAAAACAGTATTCGATCTTCATCGAATCTAAAATTACGGAAGCAGACCTTTGGAGACTTTCTCAAGGTCCAAAGGAATCACTTCGATCTTACATTGACAGATTCAAATCAGTCAAAGCTAAGATCACAAACCCTAATGAGGCAGTAGCTCTACTTGCCCTCAAAAACAACTTGTGGTACGAATCGAAATTTAGAGAAGAACTAACTGTTCGACCTACAATTTCACTAGATGACGCATTACATCGCGCATCAGCATTCGCAACTCTCGAGGAAGACACAGCTCTCCTCAGAGAAAAATACCTCAAAGGGGAGCTCGCATATGCTCCACCAGGTGCTAAGAAAACTGCACCAGCTAAACCACCTTCGCAGAGTAAAGGACAACATTCCTACTCTATCGAAACTTCAGCTCCCATAAAGAGCTCGGAGGAAGAAGAGAAACACTGCGATATTCATAATACAAACGGCCATTCCACAGAGGAATGCCGTGCTAAAGGCAAAAAGTCTAGCAAAAAGAAGGGAAAAAGCAAAACAGCTGAAACCGCGGTTAAGGCCGAAAAGCCAAAACCCAAACCAGCTAAAGACTCCGACAACGCACCTCAGAAAAGAGAACGCGAAGTCGAGGTCGAAGCCCCCGATTCCCCTCCTTCTAACAGGAAAAGAATCGACCTAATCTTCGGAGAGCTCAGCCTTTGCGGCGGCTCAACGAGATCCGTGGTCACCCCCCCACCCGCTCCTAGAAAGGCTACGAGCTCTAGCTCACACAGACCTCCTAGACTTGTCGGGGGGATAGAGCATTCTTACAGAAGCTCGCCTGTTACATCACCTACCTCCAGACCCGATACTAAGAGCATTGCGATCTCTTGCTTACGCAGACTTCACAAGCTCTCGGGGGGAGTAGAGCCACCTACCCCTAAACGAATTGACTTCATTTGCGGTGGCTCGAAGATGTGCAAAGACTCGATTAACTCGATCAAAGCACATCAGCGACGGGTCGAGTCATCTGGACAACCACGTCCTCTAGACGGACCTGATCACGAAATCAAATTTCGAGAAAGCGAAACACTCGCACTCGATAAACCTCATGACGATGCACTCGTAATCGAGCTCGCCGTAGCCGGATTCGAGCTGACCAGAGTCATGATAGATACAGGAAGCTCTGTAGACGTGCTGTTCTACGATGCTTTCAAGCGAAAACTCCGCACTCATAGGAGGCCGTACGCCCCTAACTGGGTTCGCAGGAGAAACGACCTATTCCATGGGAACTATCCAGCTCCCAATCAAAGCAGGTGGTATAACGAAAACAGTTGACTTCGTGGTCGTAGATCGCCCCGCGCCATTCAATGCCATTCTCGGCAGGCCGTGGCTCTACACCATGAAAGCAGTTGCATCCACTTACCACCAATGCGTCAAGTTCCCTACACCTTGGGGAACAAAAACAATTCGCGGTTGCCAACGAGCTTCCCGAGATTGCTATATGGGCAGCTACTTGCGAGCTGAAAAATCGCCAGTATAGCAATTACAGAAAGAAGAGGAGCTCGCAATTCGGCAGATCAAACATAGCAAAGATCCGACCGTCCGCGAACCTCGAAAAGACCTGGTCACTCAGGTTTGCATCGACGAAACCGACCCCGAAAGGCGCGTTGGTATCGGAATCGATCTCGCAAAACCTATCCGTGACGAGCTGATCGCCTTCCTAAAGGAAAACATCAGCACATTCGCATGGTCCACCGCAGACATGCCCGGGATTGACACTAGGATCACGTCTCACGAGCTGAACGTAGATCCCACGTTCAAACCCATGAAACAAAAACGTCGAAAACTCGGCCCAGATCGGGCTAAAGCAGTAAACGACGAAGTAGACCGACTACTTGATGCGGCATCTATGGGATGAGTACAAGTAATAATTCCCTAAGACAACTAGTGTTGCAAGTGCACAACATATAATTGTAGTATTTAGGGGTCGAACCACAAGGGATTGGATTTCACACATTACATAATCATAGAGTTTAAATGACTAAGCTAAATCAAAAGATGCAAGGGTTTGTGTTTGTTTAGAACACGCAAAAGAAAATAACAATGCAATTCTATACAAGCAACATTATTGAACTATTGAAAACTCTTTTGAAAACATGAGCCAAGTCGATTGAAAAGTTTGTTAAAATCCGATTCTTTTGAACTCAAAACACTAAGGAAGGATTATTCCACTTTCGTGGTTCCAATCCCCTATGTCTCTTAAACCAATGGGCTCAGCTTTCGTTGGTCATTGTAGAGTGAGACATGCATTACATCCAAGTAATGATTGTTCACAAAACTCTTTAGGTCTACTTTCGTAGCCTAAAACGATTTGCCCATCAAATATATATCCGGAGATATAACAAGCTTTTGGAGAGTATATCAACCTAAAATCAAGTCACTAGTTAGCTACTCTAGCAACAGCATTAAGCATAAATAAAGATGGAGAACCATAGGGTTTCCCCTTTTAACAATCGATTTTCGATGGCCATTATATCACGTCCTCATTGGAAGGATCCATAATTCAACAATGAGTCTTAGATAGTAGATGAAGTCTCATGAATCCTTAGAGAGAGAGGCGGCGGAATATGACTAAACCACGCCTCACCCTTAGGGAGAAATCTCTACTTCTAGACTATATAAATTGAAACATGCAAGCTATATACAAATGCAAAAGAAGAAAAGAAAGAAGAAGGAGACCACCTAAGTGGCTCCGAACTTTATTGAATAAGTGTTTCTTGTTATGCGGCTGGTGATTCTTATTACAAGAGGCTAAAAGCAAGTATATATAGGTAGAGAGCGGGTCTAGGTCGGCAAAGTTGAGCGCGCGCAGAAGAGGAAAGTTTCCATTTCTCTTTAGCCGCTTGAGCTTGCTCTCCAAGTTCTTGAATGGGCCGCGTTCAGGCCAATGGAAGCTTCTGGATTGAGTTATGCTAGTGTCAAGACGAGCCAAGGCCTTGGGCGCGGTATCCGGGCCTCTTGATCCATCAAAGTCTCCATGGGCTCTACTTAGGCGCTCGTCGGACATGTCTTGGTAGAAAATAAGTTCCGGTCCAACGAGTGATCCAAATGACCTCTTTCCACTTCGCCGCGGGTCATGACTCAAATATCTATCTTTCCATATAAGAATCATGACTTTTGGACGTCGGGAAGGCATGAACATGCGGTCGTACTTCGGATGCTCCGGTTTGGTCTTTAGCGAGAAATGTATTTGGTGCTCTAGACTTGGGAACTTGGTGATTTGACTCTTTTTGCTCCATTTTGGACTCTTCTTTGCTATTTTGACCTGAATGATGCTCAAAACCAGAATATACAAGAAAACTACCTCTTGGGCTTAAAAACCACATTATTTGTATTAAAAACATAGTGAAAACCTTGATAAAAACATGAAAGATATGGGTATCACTACTCAAGGTAGGCTCGATCAGAGAGGTGAAATACCCCGACTGGCTAGCTAATCCTGTAGTTGTCAAAAAGAAAAACGGAAAGTGGAGAGTCTGTATCGATTTCACAGACCTTAATAAAGCTTGTCCAAAAGACAGCTATCCACTTCCTCATATAGATCGCTTGGTCGAAGCTACGGCTGGTCACCAGCTCCTATCCTTCATGGATGCGTTTTCTGGGTATAATCAAATCAAGATGAACCCAGAAGATCAGGAGAAAACAGCTTTCATAACAGACCGAGGTACTTACTGCTACAAAGTAATGCCATTCGGGCTAAAAAACGCGGGAGCTACATATCAGCGCCTCGTAAACAAAATGTTTGCCGATCAGCTCGGTAAAACAATGGAGGTGTACATAGACGACATGCTGGTCAAATCCTCTAAGGGAAACAGACCACGTCGCACAGCTCCGGGTATGCTTCTCCATACTTAACAAGTACGGCATGAAGCTAACCCGACTAAGTGTACATTCGGAGTTCCGTCTGGCGAGTTCCTCGGTTACCTAGTAACTGAACGCGGAATCGAGGCGAACCCGAAGCAAATCTCTGCCCTCTTAGATATGCCTTCTCCAGAAAATACTAGAGAAGTACAACGGTTAACCGGTCGAATAGCAGCCCTTAATAGGTTCATTTCCCGGTCAACCGACAAGTGTCTTCCATTTTACCAGCTCCTCCGAGGAAATAAAAAATTCCTCTGGGACGAAAAATGCGAAGAAGCTTTCAAACAGCTCAAAACTTACCTCAGCGAACCTCCTATACTGGCAAAACCAGTAGAAGGAGAACCGCTATACCTTTACATCGCGGTCTCGCCTGCAGCGGTCAGCGGGGTCTTAGTTCGCGAAGAGCTAAACGAACAAAGACCAATCTTTTACGTAAGTAAATCCCTGATTGATGCCGAGACTAGATACCCAGCTATGGAAAAACTTGCCTTAGCAATAGTAATGTCCGCTCGCAAGCTGCGACCTTACTTTCAATCACACACAATCGTGGTGATGACCTCGCAACCATTGCGAACTATGCTACATAGTCCAAGTCAATCTGGACGACTAGCTAAATGGGCTATCGAGCTCAGCGAATACGACATCGAATATCGAACTAGAACTGTGCTAAAGCCCAGGTACTAGCTGATTTCATGATCGAGCTGGCACCGGAAGCCAATAACGATACCACCCTCTCTAAAGTTTGGACACTCTTCGTAGATGGAGCCTCGTCCAAACAAGGAGCTGGCGTCGGAATCAAACTCACATCTCCAACCGGAGAAGTGATCGAACAATCGTTCAGACTCGGATTCGTCGCCTCTAACAATGAGGCCGAATACGAGGCACTCATAGCCGGACTCCGACTCGCAATCGGGATCGGCGTGAATGAGATCAACGCATTCAGCGACTCCCAGCTCGTTACTAGCCAATACAGCGGCGAGTATGAAGCAAAAGAGGAGCGTATGGAAGCTTATCTCAAAGTAGTTCGAGATTTAGCTGGACAATTCAGTAAATTCGAACTAACTAGGGTGCCTAGGGGAGAGAACACTTCGGCTGACGCCTTAGCTGCTCTCGCCTCCACTTCGGACCCAACTGTAAGACGTGTGATTCCAGTCGAAGGCATAGATAAACCTAGCATCGACATCGCACTCAAGTCTGACAGTATAAACGCAATCACCTCGCGCCCGTCTACTCGTTCTCAAACTAGACAGTCCCAAGATCCGGGACCATCTAACCCGGAACCTGATTCCGAGGAAGAAGAACCTGTCCAAGATAGGCAAAAAACAAGGTATATCGATTCGGACTCTTCGCAAAATACGCAAGATCGATCGGAAGATCGAGATCACCTCGATATTCCCCTTTCGAACGAAGTGAGGTTCAGAGTCCACCTATGTACCTTCAATTTCTTACTTCGCAAAAAACCAATCGAAGTCTGCAGCATCCAAGCATCAAGCGTAGTGTTCTAGCAATCGTAGAACCGAAGACCCAGAGACAGCCCGAAATCTAACACGAAGCCGAGCCATCCAGACGGACCTGAAGTTCACGATTAGCTCGGAACACTATCGGCGAAGCGACAAAACCAAGACAAACTTCGAAAGGTAATAAATTCCATCTCCAAAAGCCGAATAAGAAACACATCGACCGAAAGACCGGAAAACAACTCCGCAAAGCGCGAGCTACTTCAGTTTGCCAAAGAGCTCGAAAAATAATAAACACCACATTTAGCTCAACCCATGCGATCGACGAAAATTCGCCTAAGTGTCGAATCGATCTAATCGTCCCGAATTGGACTTGATTCGACCTAAAACTATGTTTAGCTCGTTCCACGCGATCAGCCAAAACTAGTAAAATTTCGCCTAAGTGTTGAATCGATCTAATCATCCCGAATTGGACTCGATCCGACCTAAAACTATGTTTAGCTCGTTCCACGCGATCAGCCAAAACTAGTAAAATTTCGCCTAAGTGTTGAATCGATCTAATCATCCCGAATTGGACTCGATTATTCGACCTAAAACTACGTTTAGCTCGACATACGATCGGCCAAAACTAGTAAAAATATTCTAAGTGTTGAATCAACCTAAAGGGATTGATTCGACCTCCGACTAAAGTACATCTTGGCCCTGGTCTCTCGACCGGCCAAAACATTTAGTCGGAAAGCCTCAAACATTTTAGCAAGTAAAACGCGAGCTAAAACGAAAGTTGCACAACAATTTGAGCAAAATGCGCCTAAGGCAAAACGCCTAAGGCCAAAACATTAAAAGCCCCCGCGGGCAAACAAGTTTGTGGATAAAAGCCTTCCCAGGCACCAAATCCGAAACACAAAGCGTAAAAACCCCGCCGGGCAACCAAGTCTTAAAATAAATTGAAAAAGGAGTAGAGATAGAAAGAGGTCGACCAAGAGCTCAGTCCTCGACGGTCATCTCTTCAACTTCCTTCTCTCCCTCTTCGTTGCTTCCCTTCTCTTCGGCGTTCGTCCCGAACGGGTTCAAGCCAACCGGAATGTTCGTTGATGGGTCGATCTCCATGCGCGCGACCGAGTCCTCCGAAACCACGGGAAGGTTGAACTTCCCGATCGAGAAATCGGAGACTTGGGCCACCTTGGCTGCTTCGGCCACCTCATCCTCGAGCCCCCTCAACCTGGCGAGCTCTTCCTCCTGGTTGGTCGCACCGGAGATCAACGACATAAGGAGATCGATGTTGGATTGGAGTTCGATCTGATCACCTTCCACCCTCTTCTCCTCGAACTTTGCCTTAGCCGATTCAAGCACTTCCCGATGCTTCGTGACCATCCCCCTCCGACCTGCGCGGTTGGCACGGTGATGATAAGGTTTTGTGTGTGGATGTGAAAAGATATGAAATAGATGAGTGGAATGCAATCAGTGGTATATGATGATGTGGTAAGATGCAAACACAAACACAGTCAACAATTCCCTTTAACCATGATAGTTGATGTAGTACAAAGGGTTATCAATCCAAAATGGGAAACTTGTTACTCTTTGAGAATATGAAACAACCAGGAAGTCAAGCAAGCAGTTAAAGATTTGAAGTAACACTAACAACCTAAATAAATGAAAAGCAGTGCAATAAAAGTAAACAAAGCAGTGAAGTGTCAGCTCGACCAAGAGCTCGAGTCGAGTCAGAGCAAAGTACCAGCTCGATCGAGTTTAGGGACGAGTTGAGACAAACAAAGCTAAAGGTGACGACTTTAACAAGATAAAGAGAGAATTAGGGTTCAAGACAGGGTTTTGCAATCAAAGGAATCTACACTTAATCAATCTAGCTCTTAAAACTCCTTGTATCAAGGCTTCTCTTGATATTGGGCTTCTCAATGCCTAGCCAACCCTTTCCCAAGGTGGAGGCTATCAACCAAGGAATGATCTCAGAAACAGGGGGTTAGCCAGTGAGAATCAGACCTTGGAGGCTATAGGATCATTGCAGACCTCTATTTCCAGCGAATGCCATCACTTTCGTGTGGGGAGTCGCCTAAGGACTTACAAGCCAGGGGTAGTGGTCATGTAGCCTTAAGATCTATCCAAAAGAGAGAGAATCTAGATTAAGACCATAAGCTAGAAGGATTAAGCATATGAAACCTCTAATCTATCCCATCTCAAACCCCAATGGGTAACTACTCACTAAACATGAAATGTAAACACAAGCAAATGCAATAAAAGAGACATCATAAGAAAGAGGAGATGAAATTAAACAACTTTTATTGAAATAAGCAAGTGCAAATACAAGAGAGATTATCCAGGATCTAAGATTCAAGAAGCAAGAGCTTCAAGAACACAAAGAGAGGATTAGATCTCTAAAAAGTAAAAGTACAATAAATTAAAGATTAATAAAAGTAATAGCAAAAGCTTGTTTTTCGTGGCTAAGCCTTTAAATACAAGAGGATTAGGTTTAGGGTCAAAGGGAGTCAAAGGGAAGCAACATTTTTCGGGTTTGACTTTGACTCCTGAAAAAGCAGCTCGATCGAGTTGGAAACTGGCCGGTCGAGCCCGCTGGTCCGAATGACATGAAACCACGTCCAGACGAAAGCTAACTCAATTATCCACAACTTCCAAGAACAAGTCAGAGGCTGATTCGAAGTGTAAACCCTTCGTTTGATACGATACTTCGGACGCATCTCACTAGCTCGACCGAGTGTGCGTCCGTACATGGGGCAGACAGAGTCTTTCCTTCCTCAACTAATCTCCAGTGATAGGCAATGTTCCAATTAGCTCCAAATGACCTGATTAAGACATCAAACGTGCACATGTATGCAAATGCAAGCCTAAAACTACTATGTATGCAAAAGAAGGGAAAACATCAAGAAATGATGCTTTGGGTGAATGAAACTATGCAAAAGATGCATAAAAGAAGGGCTAAAACCATGTAAAATGCAAGTACATCACACGGCGAGCTACGTTGTCCTTCTCGGCGACGAGTACCTGGTTCTCCCGGCTAAGGCGAAGCGACTGCGTCAGCGCACTCGAGCTCTCCTTCTGCAAAGCCGCCATCTGCTCCTGATTCTGGGACAGCTGGCGCAAGAGATCGGCCTCCCTGGTCTCGAGCTCTTTCACACGACCCTCCTACGAGGTGTGTTTCTTCAAGAGCTCACCCTGACGAGCTACCCGCTCGTTCGCCACAGAGAGATCGGAGGTCAACTTGGCAACGAGCTCCTTCACCTGATCGAGCTCTTTCAGCTGAGGCGCGTCTCTGATCCTCGACTCCAGGCGGGACACCAACATGTTACGAGCTGCCACAGCCTAACAAAAACCAAAAAAATTCAACCAAGGCCAAAACACAACAAAGACTCTCGTCTAAAGTTTTGACTAGGGAAGCAGCTCATACCCTCCCACTCGCTGCACACGTCGCGATGTAGAGCTCCTTCTCGGACATCTGGTTCAGGGACGGGAGCCGGCATCCTACGGGCTTGAAGTGGAGGTGAATGCGAGCTGTTCCCTCCTCCTCGTCCTGCACGGGGAAGCCTTTGGAGTTCTCGTACAGCCAGTAAAACGGCGGCTTTCCCCCGCTCCCGTTCGAGGCAGTCGGGCCGCCCTCGCGAGAACGAGTCTCTCCATCGTCACTCCGAGCTCGCTTCGGCGCCTGCCTCGAGTGACCTTGATCCGAACTCCGAGTCCGATCGGAGCTCACATGAACCGTACTCAGAAGAGGGACAACCTCTCCTCCGGCGGTCGCGTCGACCTGGTCAACCACCTGGTCGGCAAGGGCAGGAGACCCCACCGCGGGCTTCGAAGCCATGGCCTCCTCCACGGCCGTTACGAACTCACCGGCACGAACTCGACTTCCACCTGAGGAGGCGCCCTTGGCACTCTTTGCGGTCCGGGATCTGAGAGGTTGACGACGGGTCATCTTTGATCTGCGTGAGAGAGGAGGAACGGAAGAAGCAGAGCTAGAATCCTGAACCGACCTAACCGGAAGGTCAGCTGGAAAGTCGCACAAACAGCTAGTCATAAAGAGTTCGTAAGTAAATTCCAGCTGATTCAATAAAGATTATTACCTGGAGGAGGAGCAGGAGGGGAGCTGAGTACTCGTCCGATCCGATCCGGGAAAATGTATTCCAGTTCACCTTCTCCCTTCTCAGTCGCTCAACGAGGTAATCGATCGACGGGCTGCTTGGTACTGGATCAACGACTGCAAAAAAAAACAAAGCAAAAACACATATCAAATCGAGGAATTTCTCAATAATGACGAGGTATTCGTCTATCCTAAGCGGAACTCGGCCTAAGCTAACCAACGCTCGTCGCCCAAACCGTCGGAAGGCGACCTAAGTCAAAGTTGCCAATCGAGGCCTCGTTGACCCGGAAGAAAAACATCTCGTCAGACCACCCGGCATCTCTTTGCGGGGTGCTCGTGAAAATCCGCCGATTTGGCCTCGGCGTAGAATAGAACGAGCCGGGGAGCCTCGGGTTACTCTTCACCGAGAAGAGCTTCCGAAGATCTCGTACGCCGAACGATATGTCCTCCTCACGGGCTCGGACGGCGCATCCGATAGTGTGGCGGACGAGGCTCGGATGCATCTGAGGGAACGCCATCTTCAGATGGGCAAGTACCTCCAACAGAAAGCGCGGAATTGGGAAAATCATCCCGCCACTCTCGAAGTACGAGACGTAGGCGCAGCAGAAACCGGGGCGAACATGCTCCGGATCTTCGCCCTCGGCCGGAAGGGCAAGCTCGATCTCCTCAGAGACCTCGTAATCACGCCGAAAAATGTCTCGAGACTCGGCGTCGAGAGTTGGAGAATGCATGATTACTCTACCGTACATCTAGTAATCTGATCTTAGAGAAATAGAACCACGACAGTGCTGAATCTAGATCTCAAAACTAGTATTTGGTGAGCAATAAATCATGGCCAACGAAAGTTGAGTTGTGGTTCATTGTGAACAATTGAATCTTGATCACCTTTAATGCATGTTTGCAATTCTAATAGCCAACGAAAGCTGAGTATATTAGGTTGTTTTAAACATAGTGGTTGGAACCACGACAGTGGAAAGACTATACACTAGTGATTCATGTTCAAGGCGGCTCAACACAAATCCCATGCAACTATCTTTTCATCATTGCTCCATATGATTGTCCTTTGCCTAACTCTTGTTTTAAATTTCTTACAACCTCACTCACCTCTCTTTTGTTTCACTTTCTCATTTTAGGTCCAAAACCATCTCATATTGCGAGCTAGCTACAAACCAATCTCACAAGGTGTTAAGCGAGAACACTTCCTCCTCGTGTACCCCGACTACAACACGGCTGTGCACTTGCAGCTCATTAGTTGGGTTTATAAATTGTGAAAATTTGAGGCAATCTAAACCCGCCATCAAGCTTTCTGGCGCCGTTGCCGGGGAGGAGTTGCTTTTCCTTCACACCTCTTGATTGATTTCAAGACTAGCTCATCTCATCTTTCACTTTTCTTTGTTTTTATTTTTCATAAAATTTTAA